GTGTGGGGACAAGATCATGAAATTTTAACTGGGTGGGATTCCGATGTCATTTCCAGAATCGGGATTAACACAGATGTGCTAAGGTCTCTGCTTTATTAAATTGGAACTGTAAGGATCGTTTTGCCTTGGACTCTGATTTAATTCTACATGATACTTGGAACGCTGACAGCATGTACCTTTGATGGTTGCAGGGTCCTAGAGTCACGCAATGCCCTTTGGCGACCACCTGACAAGCAAAATCAATGGGGAAGCTGGATTCACTTAAGAATTCTGTTATTAAGTTAACAAGTGCAGTGATTCGCTTAATCAACTATGGAAGGGAAGGTCAAAATTGGGGCAAAACTTACTGATCAACTGCCTCACCTAGCAACAGGCATTTTAGGCTCAATTGTGGCCATAAGTCGAGGACTATCTGCATTTTGGTGTCTGGGGAACTGAACCCCCGAACCTGGGAGGTCATTTCTTACTCAGCACAGATTTCAACAAATACAGATACATATATTGGCCTCCAGAATAGCGGTGATTGAGAAGCTGAGAGAAGACCTGCTCCGCTAGTATGAACATGTCCAGAGAGCAGCACCTTCCACCCTTTCCAAGATTGCCTACTCACTATAAGTCAATGGCCAGCGACCCTGCGGGCGTCCAAAACAGAGATGGCAAGACACCGTCAATAAAGATATGCAAGCCATGGGCCTGCACTCTGGAGATGCAGCTGACCATGCAAAGCGGTGTTCAATGATCCAAAAAGTGGACTCTGCACTTGTGGGAATACATGAGAGAGGAGGAGGAGGAGGAGGAAGAGGATTTGATGAAGAAGAAGATGAAGAGGAGGAGGAGGAGGAGGAGAAGAGGAGGAGAGGGGAAGGAGGAGGGGAGGAGGAGGAGGGGAGGAGGAGGAGAAGATGAAGAAGAACATGAAGAGAAGAAGGAGGAGAAGAGGAGGAGGAGGAGAAGAGGAGGAGAAGAAGATGAAGAAGAAGTTGAAAAGGAAGAGAAGAAGAGGAGAAGAGGAGGAGAAGAAGAAGAAGAGGAAGAGGAGGAAGAGAAGAAAAGGAAGAGGGGGAGGAGAGGGGGAGGAGAGGAAGAGGAGAAGAAGGAGGGGAGGAAAGGGAGAAGGAGAAGAGAAGAAGAGGAAGGGGGAGGAGAAGNCTGAAAAACTCGGCTTATACTTGAGTATATACGGTAGGTTGAAGACAACTTCACAAGACACTCTGTCCTAGAAAAATTGCTGTGGGGGGCCTTTGTCAAATACAGCTTAGCAGTGGGATGGGCTTTAGACCAACAAGGATTCCTTGGAATGCAAAATCTACGGGAACAATGCTTTCTTTTCCACCAAACTGTTTTCACTTAACAGCATTAAAATAATATTTAGGACAGAAATAGACAACCTGATAGTTCAGGGCACCCACGTACAAATAGTCCTTGATATATAACCATTCATTGAGCGACTGAAGTTATAACGGCCCTGAAAAAAATGACGTTATCTAATTGGGTAATGAAAAGTCTGCCAAGAAAATGAAACTTGGAGAGCACCAAAGGCCCCCACAGTCCTTTTCTATTCCACAAACCCCACTTCCTTCTAGCGCTGATGCTGTTACCTAGTTGGGTAAGGAAACGTCAGCAGGAAAAAAACCAAGCTCAGAGAACACCAACTTTGCACTACAAATATTCTCTCATTGGCCAAGTAATCACATTTGAGTAGCTATTTTTATCCAGGATTGGATTGAGACCCAAAGAACAAAAACAAACAAAAAATACATTCAATGTTTTGATTCCTTTCCCCCCCTCCCAGTTCTAATCCTTGGACTTCACATCCTACGCACGCTTTCCTCCCCTTACGACAAGTTTCCATTTGCACAAATTAATGCCTCCATAAGCAACAGGCCAGGAAAAGTGCAGAAAACAAGTGTGTGGAAAACATTTATGGGCAGGTTTTCGTTTCCTTTCTGGCACGCTGCAAAACAACAAATTATATTTAATTGCAAAACAACAAACTCCTTGCACGTCAATAATAAAGATTGCTAACAAAAAAAATTCCAATAAAGCAGGGATTATTTTGTCAGTTGCTTTAATTTTGAGAATGCTGAATTGCTGGCAATAAGCAGGTCTTCTGGCTTTTTAATGATACTGTTACGTTACTAAAAAAAAAAATGGAAATAAAAGCAGGGCCAGACCTCAGGAAACGATTGTTTAAAGTAGATTGGAAGAAAAGTTGAACAGGAATTTCCTCCCTAAGAGGAAGGTATGTTGTCGGAGGGAAAATGCAAATATTATTCAGTGCACACAGGCCACGGGAAGCAGGAAGTGGATGAGGGAAAGGTCTGATACAGCCTGGCATGCAAACAGAAGAGGACACACATTTTGCTTATTAGTAATGTTTTTCTTTCCAATGCCAGGATAAATCACAAATCCATACGCTGCAGGAATTTTGTAAAAGCACTTTGATCCACTGTCCGCCTCTGGCTCGATAGAAAACAACTTCCTTTCGCTTCTCTCAGCCCTGGTACCCTTCCATGCAAAACGTTTTACTGAATTTTTCACCACAGATCAACAAGAGTTGGAAGGGACCTTGTAGGTCATCTAGTCCAACCCCCACCTCACCCAAGTGTTGTGGCCCGCCAGCAGCCTTTTTATTCATTGACTGAATTCTGCTCATTCACCTCCAGCAAAGTCTTTCAAGGGAGGATTTACAGTCACAGANTCCTCCTCCTCCTCCTCCTCCTCCTCCTCCTCTCTGCAGACCTCTTTCCCTTCTAGCACTGATGATGTTAACTGTCAGACGGCTCTGGCCCCCTCTCTGCCTCCGACACAGAGCCCTCGTCAGAGCCTTCCCCAGACTCCACGACTGGCCCATGTCCCTCCCCAACCTCCTCACTGTCCGAATCTGCTGCCAGCTCCGCTGGCGGGCCACGACACAGACTGCAGTTGGCAAAGGGAAGGCCGGAACACAAGGCTTCGTTCCCAAAGCTTTTGCAAGTGACTCAGCGGTGAAGTCTTAAGCGTTGTGTTGTCCTCTTCCCCATCAGGAGCTGTGGAGATCAAGGTCTCTGAAGATCCGGTGGTGGCCCTGGTTGGCCACGACGCCATTCTCCACTGTTCCTTCTCGCCGGAGGCCAACTTCAGTCTGAACGAACTCAGCCTCTTCTGGCAGGTGACCGATACCAACCAGATGGTGCACGGCTTCACGGAAGGCCGGGATCAGCCGGCCTACCAGGGCAGCACCTACGCCAACCGCACGGCCCTCTTCTACGACCAGCTGGCCCACGGCAACATGTCCCTGCTGCTACGCCGGGTGCAGATTTCCGACGAAGGGAGCTTCACCTGCTTCGTCAAAGTGCGAGACTTCAGCAGGGCGGCTGTTAGTCTGCAAATGGCAGGTGAGCTTCAAGGAAGGAGGCGGGCAAGATGAGCCCCGGTGGCGCAGTGGTTAGAGTGCAGTACTGCAGGCTACTTCTGCTGACTGCCGGCTGCCTGCAATTTGGCAGATCGAATCTCAGGGGGCTCAAGGTTGACTCAGCCTTCCATCCTTCCGAGGTGGGTAAAATGGGGACCCAGATTGTTGGGGGCAAGAGGCTGACTCTGTAAACCGCTTAGAGAGGGTTGTGAAGCACTATAAAGCAGTATATAAGTCTATTGCTATCTTCCTTCCTTCCTTCCTTCCTTCCTTCCTTCCTTCCTTCCTTCCTTCCTGGGGAGGGTAAAAATGGCCTCCCTATGGCCCTCTGGAAGGCTGAAAATCAGCTGGCTGGCATGTACATGCGTGTTGGAGCTGATGGCTTGCGTGCTGGCAGATATGGCTCGGCATGCCACCCGTGGCACCCGTGCCATAGGTTTGCCATCATGGCCCTATGCCATTTCAGACCAATGGTTGTCTAATCTCTTCTTTAAATCTTCCAGTGATGGAGCATTCACAACTTCTGGAAGCCAGTTGTCCCACTGATTGGTTGTTCTCACACTCAGGAAAGTGCACTGTGTCTCAGCTCTTCTTCATCA